CTATGTCCACATCATACCAACCACGCTTCTCACGTATCCCAGCCACGGATTATTACCCACACTTTAAGACCTTCTTGTATAAACAATGGCAATCTTTCTGGTCAAGCCTCCACACTAATAAATTACATTCTGTAAAACTATCAATCTCCTCCTGGTCAGCTCCATTTCATCGGAACAGACGTTGGGAGACTGCTCTCGCCCGCTTACGCATTGGCCACACCCGTCTAACACACTCCTATCTGATGTCACAATCTGATCCACCCCTATGTTCATTATGTAATGTTCCCCTTTCAATCGTACACATCCTATTGTCGTGTCCACGTTTTGAAGCAGCCCGTACCTCTGCTTTCCCCCACCTATCCTCCCTTCACCGACCTCCCAACCTATCAGACATCCTTACAGAATCCCACACTTTCTGCATCAACAACCTGTTCTCTTTCCTCAAACACATACATATCCTTTATCTAATCTAACACCCGACCTTAACCCTTTAACTCACCAATTCCTTTGCCCAGCCTAGACAACTAATCACTAACTCAACCACCTTTCACTAACATTAACTATAGTGCTACATGACCTTAGATGTCTAGCACATTTATCTTGCTTTTAACCATTAACCAACCCCAATAATAAACATCACACAGATGATAATAATGAAAGAAATGTAGAGGACTTTTACTGGATAAAGATAGTAAAAAACATTTAAGATAATAATAAAAATAATTAATAACTTAAACTCAATTAAATCAATAATTCATAATAAATGAAATTAGCAATATTCTAAAAGAACTTCAATTTTTTAAATGGACAATTTTATATTATGGAATGCAAGATCCATGTCAAATAAGAAAGCAAATATAAAATATCTGCTATACAGAGAAACTCCTGGCATTATAGCCATAACAGAAACATGGTTAAAAGAAAAAATTAATTTATTTTAAGTAACCACACAATAACCAGAAAAGATAGGAGGAGGCATAGGTATATACATTGAAAATTAGGAGGAGGCATAGGTATATACATTGAAAATTATCTACAATTCAAAGAAATCAAATTAAGAGATAGACACAGTGATGAATTGGAAATGCTAGGAATAAAGATAAACTACAAAAGCAAATGGTTCAACATATTAATATTATACAACCCATGTAATGACATAAAGACAGAAGAACTCCACACAGGAATGACAATACAAGCTACCAGCAAATTAATGAAACAGGTGAAAGTATAATAAAAGTGGATAAGTCAAAATAATATAATAATGTTAACTCCAAAAAATCAAATAGCTAGAGTTGATCCCAAAACGGCCAAAGAATCAACCATTTGGATCACCAGCTCTAAGCCATAGTCAGTTAAAACCGGCAGCTCACCCAAAGATAATGCGAATAAAGATAATAATTTGCTAAAAGAAAAGAAGTGGCAATATAGAAAAGAAGGATGGATGGACAACCAAAGAGAAATAATTAGAATAGACATAGGAAATTTAACTTCACTTGAAAAAAATACAGATCATAAGAAATACAGCTCTAAAATATTTTCAATTGGAAACATGAGAATATAAAGATAAACCAAATACACCATGGTGGAATAGAGGATGTAACAATATCATATAAGAAATAATAACGCTTTTAATAAACATTAGATGCCCCCAAATTAAAATGGAAAAAAAAACATATAGAAAATTTAGAATTGGATATCTTAAGTAGAATAAATATAATGAAAAAACTAACTTCATTAGCCTGGGGAGCAAACAGAGAAGTTCTATTAAAATTTCATAAAATACATATTAGACTAAAAATAAAACGCAGAATAACAGTCTATGGAGCAGCAATAGAAACAGAATTAAGAAAACTAGAAACTTTACAAAATCAAGTACTACGACTGGCAACTGGATATCTTAGATCTCCAAGCATTAACAAACATTCCACCTCTAACAAATAGAAGATAAGAACTTGAATGCATACAATTAACTAAAATCCTAAATAAACCAAATACAATACCAGTAAAACAATAAATAAGAAAATGCATAAAAGAATATAACCCTCAAAGAAACACTAGTACACAGAGTTACAGCAATGATAATAAATGTAAATATAGACTTAAATGTGAAACTAAAAATATCCCCAATACCCACATGGCATGGTATTTAAGAGAACATAAAAGCAAATTTAAGGACAATATAACAAAAAATACTCCTCAAATATCATTTAGAAACAATACCGGGATATAATAAACATTAATTGCAAAAACATTAATAGAATTTTCACTGATGGCTCAAAGATAAAAGAACCTGAATCAACATCAGTGGCAACTTTCATTCTGAACAAAATTATAACAACTATTTGGAAATTCCCCCAAAAATAGAAATCACCCACCCCGAATCATTTGCTTTATGGCAAATAATTCTGCATGGGTGATTTCTAAGAAGGATTGAATTATGCAATAAATAATAAATTGAATAATACAGTAGTATTAACAGATCACTACAACCAATACAAAA